TTTGCACTTGGTCGTTTTTTTCTCTCACAAAACTCATTAAATTTAATATGCTTCCTTTCACGGACTAATAAGCATTAATGGGTCTAATGTTGTTGTTGCTATTTATTTATTAAGGACACGCAAAAGTTATTTGAAATTGATTTGATTTTTTATTGACCGCATTCATATCGTGGAATATACGCTCATGAAGTGGTATGCGTGCTTGTACTTACATATGTACAGGTTTGAGTACATAGGGGCACTAAATAATTTCGAGTAGATCACATACGCGGCCACATTTCATGGCAATGCAACTGTATTGTCTTTCGTTATAAATTCAATATTGTGYGCTCGAATAATCGATTTGCAATTATGCGGTTTTACAGCAACCCCTACTGCACTTTATCTGGCACCGGAGGAAGGAGTGTGGAGAGAGTTCAGAAGTCATTGCCCATTTATTCATTCATAACGTGGGAACTCATAATGAATTAAATTGTTCCTCCTGAAATTCAAGGTTCTTTGGAAGCACAATCGTAGGCGCTAGGGCTCAAACGCGAACTTGTTTTAACACAAAATAAAGCTAYCACAGGGTTTGTCCGAAAAGTAATAGGACTGAGTCGATTTCTAAATATGTATCGTACCAATCGTTACAATTCTTTAAAAACTTTTGAAGTAGGCTCCTTCTGCGCCAATACAACGCTGCCTACGYGATTTCTGRCRTTGACGGTTTGTTCAGGAGGARCAAATTCATGGTGGATTTGATATCAAAAAAAAAAACAATCCACATCGTTTTCACTTTGGATTTGCTCATTCTGTCTTGAGATGGTGAAGACCAGCGACCTCTCCCCGGCCCTYCAAAAAGGCCTGGTGCCACCAGGCGGAAGAAACTCAGTCCTATTACTTTACGGACAAACCCTGTACTCACATCYATACGTAGAAGCAAACAGCAATGACACAGAAACTCTCACGAGGGATGTGGGAGAGCTCAAGTCACGCAGGAAGTATAAAATCATTCCAAACATAAAATTCGTAAGTACAAGGATGTCGCTTTCCCTCGGATTATTGCTTTCTAAGAATTAGAGTCACGACGTAATGACAATCTTATTCCTGTTTTTGCTTTAGTTGCTAAAAATTTGCTTCACCTCTTTTGTGTCTTACAAATGAGAACTTCCTGGTCTTCAAAATTTCGATTAAAGTGTTCCAGTAATGAAATCTTAGCTATGAGTTATATACTTGTGGCATGGCAGTAGTATAGCATATCCTCAACTGAAATGCAAAATAACGTATCATCAAAAAAGTYGAAATTGTGTATCTTATTGATTACGCTCCACCACTTCAAATTCATACACAATATTAAATTTGTCGAACATTTTCAGGTTCTGCRCTCATATATGAACCAGTTTTAACCAATATTAAAACTTCTTTTCACTCTTGTTACATTTTATTTCGTGTTTCATTCACGCCACTGTAAATTTTCGAAAATGTTGTTACGTTGTTTTACATTTTATGTGACGATATGTAAAGAGAACAAAAATTCAAGCCATTTATCGATATTAATGAGTCCTCGGAAGATCGATTAGGTGCGTCATTTCGACGCTAGTAAAACGAAGTTAAACCACGGAAGGCAAGTAAAATATGTATGTAACTAAACTTATTTATAAATTTTGGTATTTTGTATGCTCTGATTGAGTGATTATAATTATATAATAAATGCGAGGTAGTGACACACTATGTCTTATTGGCTAAGATCCGAAACGTATGGGACGTGCAAGCATTACGAAATTGAATATCAACTCAAGCCGAATGTAATCAACATCTGCTGATCCATCGGTATTTACTGGGTTAGAACTGATCTCTTCGCCTGGCTAAATATGTACGTGAGCGAACAGCCAAGAGCGAAGAACGGCGGCAGACGCCTCTGACACATGCGCACACATCCAAAGTGTGCGGTCTTGACGAATATTTATGTATGAAAGCTTTGTTACCGTTGCAATAATGAAAGTATATGCACGAAAGAGCGTAACGGTGATAATTYCGCGAATATATTCGCTAGAGTAAGTGGTCGCTCAGCGACTGCATGCAATGCATATTCATGCAAATATACATATACACAGMCAGACGTACATACATATGTMTGCTTATGCACACCCCCATATATTAGATTTTAATAGTATATGCGCCAAMTTGTAGCCGCTCATAAATGATGGCTTCGCATTCGTTTCCATGAATTATTCACCWCAGTCGGTCGTCGCGAGGGGAWCCGGCGGGCAATGGGGGATGAGCAAAGCGCATTCGGAGAAGTTGTGCTGGAATCGGAACCGTAGACCCGCTGTGCGCGTTTAATTAGGGCCATCATCTTGGCGGTCGTTTGATGGCAACGACTGTGAGCCGAGCGATAAGCGACTCGCAATCRCAAATGAGTGCATCTGAGCGSCAATTCCGATGCACAGGTTGGCTAAAATTTACCATAAAACTTCGGCAAACTGCTACTGCCGCACATGCATGTGAGAGTGTCGATATGGAAATACACATAGGCAAATACCATGAAGTGCGGTTGTAAACGAGCACACCCACCACCCTCTCATCCAGCCCAGCTCATATTACTGCTATTTATAGCCAACACAATTGGGAACATTTATTATTAGCTTTATAATTTTGACAATAGCGACGAAGCTCAAAGCGCCACACGCACACACACACACATCTGCATCGTTAGCTACGAATTCGGTGGCAAATCATTAAAATTGCTACATATATATATGATGGGGGAAGAACCTAACCAGACRAAGCGAAACTTTATAGCCCCGTGGAGTCTCGTAGCTCAGCTTATATAMATGCATACATATAAACAATGTAGATGTGTATGTATATGTTCTCATTTGTTATGCTGTCAAAGTGCATGCAAAAATGAGCATTAACTCGTTGTTACATATTCATCACCATTATGCGAACGCAACTGTATGAACATATGTACATATGTATGTATGTATGTATGTATGTATGTATGTATAGTTAAAATAATAAGTAATATGCAAATTTTTTTTTTCGACAACGTAACTATGTATGTATGTATGTATGTATGTATGTATGTACATAGCATAGGCTTGCAACAACTGTGGGCAATGGGCGCGATTGTTATCGCCCGAGGTCCCTTGTTTTTGAGCGGAGGGAGGGGAAGCGAAATCTTACTGTGAACAAGTCAGGCGGAAGCTTTGAGTAATTAAAGACGCTTCTCGCACTGCGATCGCATTGTGCCGACGATCGAAAGCGATACGAACACAAGAGCACAAGAGCACACGAACGCACACACGCCAACTTCTACGTGCAACACTTGTTTGTATGCAAAGTAGGGGCGAATTTATGCAAGTCCATATCTTATGACAGAAATGATGAAAATGGAATCATTGCGTGCCACGAACAAATTCAGATTTCCCGCATTATGTATGATAAGTAAGTATAATATTTGCGTGTTTCGCTGTTTTCGCTGCTGAATTTCCAAGCGAAGAAGCGTTCTTGGAACTGAAGCGTCTGCATGCGCTTCTTGCAATAATGAATAAACACATACTATATGTGTGTCTKTATAATTACGTCTTTTAAAATGTACATATGTAAGCTTGCATTTACATACATTCACTAKTACCGTAAAACATATGTATGTWTGTACATACATATATAATAGCTTAGTATATGGTATGTACGTATTTTTACATTAACCACTGCTTGCTCCACTTGTTTTTATTGCGCCATATTATTTTTATATATTTTTCATTTGTATACCTTATCTAGAACTATTTTTTCAATTAACTAATCCATTTATATTATAAAGTATTGCAATTTTGCATTAATGACTTCACTTYAAAGCAAATACATATTTTTATTAGTTGGATTTATAGCATCCACACGTGTCAAAAGTTAGTTTATGACTATATTTTCCAAAAATTACTCAAAACTGCAGCTTTTATCACTTACAAGCAGATTTGCTCAAATTGCATTAAAAGAATAAATAAGTTAGCATTTGAATTAAATCTTTTTTTATTTTGCATTCACACGTCTTCCTCCTCTGTACTGSCGTGGACACCGCTTACCCGATTATAGCCGAATTTACAATAGCGCGCCAGTCGTTTCTTCTTTTGACAATGTGGCGCCAATTGGAAATTCCAAGCGAAGCCAGTTCTATCTCCACCTGATCTTTCCAACGCACTGTAGGCCTTCCTCTTCGTCTGCTTCCCCCGGCGGGTACCGCGTCGAATACGTTCAGAGCTTTAGTGTTTCCGTCCATAGGTACGATATGCCCTATACAGCACAACCGCTGTCTCTACATTCGCTGAACTATGTCAATGTCTTCGTATATCTCATACAGCTCATCATTSCATCGAATGCTTTATTCAMMGTGGCCAACGCGCAAAGGACCATAAATCTTTCGCAGAAACTTTTTCTCGAAAACTCGTAACGTCGACTCATCAGATGTTGTCGTCGTCTCATGCCACTAAATAAAATGGTTTATATATGAGCGCAGAACCTGAAARTGTTGGACAAATTTCATATTATGTATGTAATTTGAAGTGGTGGAGCGTAATCAAGAAGACACTTAATTTCGAATTTTTTGATAATASCTTAGTTTGCATTTCAGGTGACGATATACTATTTGCAGATCAAGTTTCCTTTCTGGATCAAATTAGATGAAMATTTGTGGCTTCCTATCACTATGAATTGTTCATAATTTAACTAGAGGAAAGGCTATAAAGGCTTTTATACGCCCACTACCACCAGCTTCTCGAAACATTAACCTGGCTATTGGGCTCAAGCTAAGGCTCGCACTTAAAGTGTGGGCAAAAGCTCGCTGAAGCGTACACAAATAGTATAGTTAGCAATTATATTTGTTGTGTTCCGCATTTAAGACATATCACCACCACWAAAGGGCTCTTGCAACAACACCTGCTTGGGACACTCACTAACTCAACACCGTAAAAATAAATACTCGCAGCGTTTTGTTGTTTTTTCATACTTTTATTTTACTGCAATAAATTATCTTCGTGGAATTTATACAGGAATTTTCCTTATGAAGATTTTCAATAAACCTCTACTTATTATCACAGTATTAAAACAAATAAATATAGTCTAATTGCTAGTAACTTATTCTAGACTAAAGTTCTTACATACGTATTGTACATAGATGAGACGATCCATACATATGCATATATTCAATATATATGATATACTTCTTGAACTAAACTGGACTGTGTTGATTTTCGTTTAAAGCGCGATTTATGCTTCACAAAATGTCTCGATGAAATACAGTTTTCCCAATCTTACCTATGTAAGTGATGATTACATACGAGTGTACATGTGTATTTACATACAAAGTTCACTTTTTTTTATCATGTTTTTCAAAACTGATCTACACRCACACAGGTATTTGTGTATGTGTGTGTGCGTTTGTGATGATGAAACTGTTGCAAAATACCCCTGGTTATTCCGTTATTCTTAATACTATTTGCCTATCTAACACAAATTCACCAGAAACATTGACATTTACAAATAAACACCAGTTATTAGAATAGTAACTTATATCATAAAAGTTGCACACAAAAATACTTTAGTTATGATTTATCATTTAGTAATAAAACATATTCGGCTCCGTCATAAAATATCCATATTGCCTATAAACACTAAAATTTATATAATATTTTGTTATTGTTTATTGTTAAATAAGTGCTATTTAGACAGCACACAAACACATATAAAAGACTGCGTCAATTCAAGATGTAAGTCACCTTAGGAATTCGTATACATACATGCGCGTGTGTGTGTGCGGACCTTTTTCATGGAAGGCTTTAAGCCCAGTGCGTAGATATGTGTGCACATACGTACAATTTACATTTACCCTTCGTCTCACATATATACGAGTACACAGGCATACATATGTAGACAATTTGTTAAACACACACACATCCATTCAGAGGTATGTAAATAGGGATGGTGTATACCCGGATCATTATTTTGATGGCCTGATTCAATACGAAATAGTTGTAGATTTAGCGATAGTACTGCTGGTTTATGCATGGAGAGAAAGTCTTCACTGCATCATCATGTAAGGTGACTCACTGCCGTGTTCTCCGGTCGGGCTGTCCATTGATGGATTSATGCGCTTCTCCTTCTGCCKTCGGTTGCAAAACCAAACGCGTACCACYTCTTTTTCCATGCACAGTCGGTCAGCCAATTGGCTGATCTCCTCGCTTGTGGGTTTCTGATTCATCATAAAGGCCTTTTCAAGAGCCCCCCTTATCGAGGTTTCGATTGAAGTGCGCTTTTTCCTACGGCGCCCCATAACCTCGGGCGTGCTCACTGTTTGCAATGCAGCTGGGTCGAAAACGCTGTAGATTAAAGAAATACAAGGAAAACAACAATAAGCCAAACCTTTAGTTGAAAAATTCTTATTATGTACATATATACATATGTAAGTTATAWATGTCATAGAATTTAGAGAATTCCCCATCGGTAATACGATTTGAAAGGCGATACGGCGAGCTCTTAATTAAAATTTATGTACTTGATTTGCAGGTTTTGAAAACACTTACCCTCCAGTCGCCTGTATCGTTCGATCGGCGTCTTCCAGCCATTTCTGCAGCAATGGTTTCAGCTTACACATATTCTTAAAACTCAGATTTAAGGCTTCGAAACGCGAAATAGTCGTCTGTGAAAAGTCATTGCCATAGAGTTTGCCCATGGCTAGGCCGACATCGCCTTGCGTGAAGCCCAATTTGATACGACGTTGTTTAAAAGTTTTGGCGAACTGTTCAAGCTCTTCGAGATCTGTGGTTTCCTCTGGCGACGGTTCCCCAGCCAAGCGTTGAGCGGCGCCAGCATGTTTTAGCATTTGAGGCGTTTGTGGGGCGCCGCTGATCGTATTCGGCGTAAGAATCCCACTCACTTTCAGACTAGTGCCCGGGTTGGGCGGCGTGATTTGACTATGCGCATTCATATTGAAATTAGTTTGTAGAGGCAGTGGAGATGACGCGGGACTTTGTACGGGCGTGTGCGCCGGCGTTGAGGTGTGCAAATTACAAGATTTTGAAGTTTCTTCTCTCTGTTGTTGTTGGTGCTGGAGATGGGATTGTTTCTGCAATTCYTGCTGCTTCTGAAGCGACTGCAGTTGCTGGGTTGCTTGAGTGAGCGCCTGTACGCGGCTGTGAAATAGGAACTGAGCGGCAGCAACTTGAGYGGCCATGCTCGGGTCATCTGGCGATATGCCTAACGAACCGCTGYGCAAAATTTCTATATAGCTTTGGAATTGTTGGTGCAATGCGGTTTGCTGCTGTTGTAGTGCCTGCTGGAACTGTGTAAAGTCTTGCGGTGAGATCGAGGTGTTGAGTGCGTGGGAAAACAACGGACTGCCAAGGCCCAGGCCTGCGCTCGCCGCCACAGCGAGTTGCGCCTGTTGCGAGGAAATATTTGGCATTTGATATGTGTTGTTGGTAAAACAGGGTGCCGCACTTTCGCAAACGGACGTTGTAGGTGTAGAGCGGCCGGCGCGCAACGATTTCAATGACGGTGACGGTGATTGCAAACTTTGTCGCGAACTTTCACTGGTTAAGTTCAGCGCACCGGACTCTGTGTCCCTCATATGCTCAACATCTTTGGCAACACCTAATTTGCACTCCAACGTAGTGTCGCCTCGGTTCAACACATCCAACAGGTGGGACTTTAGAGTTGGCAGCTGATGTTGTTGGTGTTCGTCCTGTGGCGTAGCAAATATTGGCGGACTCTGCGGTGACAAGCAGCGATCACTGGAATTCCCCGCTACCGAATTATTGTCACCACAATCGGACGCTGAAGCGTTAAAACGAAAGAAGAGTGAGGGGTTAATTTGATGCCTTAATGGTAACTATTTAAGAAATATAAATGCAAATTAAAAGTAAAATGTAAATGTAAATGTAAATTTTCGGGCAAATACTTGAAAAACCTTTCAGTTCGCACGTGCTCCTTTGATGTGAGCTCAATCGATATGTTTACTTATGCGGAGCACATAAACTCCTTTCAGACTTTGGTTACTTTATAAATGACCATTTTGTGTTAGTTTAACGCTTCATAAAAATTCATCTTAACTATGCAAAGTCCCTGGCAAAGCACATGTGTGCATATTTAAGATGTGYAGGTGTRTGTGTGCGYGTGTGSTGCATCCCTGTGAAGAGACGGAACCCACACATGGCACGAGTGGTTGAAACGTCAATGCTTACACCTTTTGCATAATTTTAGCATAAGCAAACACAATTTCCCTATGCGAAATGCGGAGGAAAAGGCAAAGAAAACTACACACTATGTTTTTTCATTTTCATTCATTCAKTTTTTAAATGTGGTCAATTTCATAGTCCGCTGAGTCTCAACCTTCTCTCCCCGCTCCCTGCTCCCGCCCTCTGTGGCGGCATAAATAAGTGAAAATCTTTCGCAAAAAGCTACCCACGATGTCGCAATCGACAGTTGTTTTGTGAAAATGTGCATATTTCGGTTTCCCGGTTTCGTGCGACGGGGCGGGAGTGGGAATGAGCACGGCAATATTGGCGACGAAATGCTGTTTTGGTGTTTTCTTTTCATTTCGCCATTCAAATGTTTGAGTTTTTGAATTTTAAAGAACAGAAGTAGCCACCTCAAAGAAAAACACGAACGCGCAGACATACATATGTAAAAATGAATATATATATTTATATAAAACTTACAAATTTACAAATTATTCAATTGCGCTACTTGTCCCAGGCTYTCGAATAGACTTGAGGTATTTAACAGTGATCAATTGCCATATCAAGGTACTAGACGGTAATCGCTTAGTGCAATCGGGTTGCCTGTGAATTTAGTCCTTTTAGTTTCATCCAGAAACTTACTAATAGAACATTTGGGCCATTTGTATAACCCTATAACCAAATTCATCGAAGTATTTTTTTCTAGGTTAGTATAACTGTCAGTGACATCCGTGCCAAAAGTCTAATCACATCGTCAGTAGAGTTTAGTATACGCTTGTTTTTCTGGCAACGTTAGAGTATCGGAAGTATCAGTGAAAACCATTTTGAAAGATTATTTGGGTTTAAGAAAAGCAAAAGCACGATTGATTCCGAAATCACTTAATTTTTTTTTTTCGAAAAAAGAACCTCACATTAACGTCTATGAAACAATGCTTGCCGACTTGCACGATTTCATAAAACGTATTATCACTAGCGACTAGTCTTAGATTTATGCTTACGACCTGGAAACAGACGATCAATCGGCCTAATACCGTGGCAAATATGAGCCGCAGCCGAAAAAWTCACGTCAAAGCAGTTCAGATCAAGGTTACAGGTATGTTGACAGTTTTCTTCGATTATCGAGGTGCGGTGTACTCCGAATTCCTTCYGTCCGGCCAAACTGTCAACAAGGAATACKATTTAAGTCGAATGGGTCGTTTGTGCGAAGCTATGCGWGAAAAGAGGCAAGAATAATGAACCGACAACTCTTGGCCTTTAGACCACGATAATGCACCGTCGCCTACTGCATTGGTTGGAAATTGACTTTAAAAACWGTTTCGCGGGCTTAAAAAAACATTGGCACAAATGTGTTGGAGCCAAGGTGGATAACTTTGGAGGAATTTTAAAATTATGAACAAAGTCTTACTATTTTTTGCTCATAGTACTAYACATAGTACCTCCATGTCAATTGAATGATGTCAGTTGAATGACTGTGAAATATTTGAATAGAATTTGAATAGTAAACGCTCTTGCAATACACATTTACATACCCACAGACACACATGCATTCATTTTTCATGTGGCAGTAAAGTCCTTCTCAGATTTGATGACTTACTTGGCTGAACGGACCGTGGTCGTAATTCCGTTCCCATATGTTGCTGACCATTTGGAGAGTTCTCAATTTTTACATACTTCTATAAAYAAATGTACGTGCAATATTTGGTATTCAGATGATGTGCCGACTACATATGCGAAGAGGTAAAAGCAGTGGCGCCACTTGCCACATACGAATTTTCGCACAAGGGGGGAAAAATCTATGCTTGAAATACAGCTCTAATTAGAAACCTTGCACAATGTCTTTAGTCTGTGCATTTGTCGTCAGCTTCTAGCAGAAATTCAATTCATACCCCTCAGCTAAGACATTTSGGCGTGCGCCACTGCCTTTGGACTCATCCCATAAAAGCACAGATTGGTCAGTAGCATGTGGCCCAAGTTTGCATGGTTTACATGCAATCCCAATAAGAGCGCTTGCACTCGTAAAGGAATCTGAAAATATGTAAATTCAATCACATAGCAACAAATATTGGCAAATCTCGGCATGTGGGGCAGAGCGAAAAAGGCACACCAAACATAACTGCGTGYGCACCAACACACACATTTTTGCATTTTCCGTGCGAATTTCTGATGAGACTACATATTTACATACTCATGTTCAATATGTGCTCCCATAAAAAGTCCAAATTCAGCAACGGAAAGGATACCCCGATTTGTAGAAATCTCGCACTCGCACCACGAAACCCCAAATGCAGCCAAGTGTGAATTGCAAATTCTTGACCCCACATACATCGAATAGCGTTATGAATAATAATGAAGCGGTTGAATATTAAATTTACATACACCATTTTATACAGTTATTCCTGATAATATGCACTCATATAACTGAATATAAATATAAGTATGTATGAATAACTAAAACCCCAAATTTAAAATGTTCTTACTGGACTTGCTAAATCGATTGCCAAGCGAAACATCATATTGTGGTACTRAATACACACGAACGAAGATTTGAACAGCCTTCTTACTTGTTGAGGTCGCGCACCTATTGGTAGTGGACTTATTATACCATTAAGGCCGTTATTAATCATCAACATAACCTAATATGATATTTCTCTTAAAGTAGCACTTTTGAAGAAAATTACGAAAAAGCTACATTTCTGTCGAATAAATTTCCGAAACACGATGTGTAGGTGCAACTGCATCTGGCAAGAGCGGAATGGACCTAATGATGTCCTAAGCCTGGCGCTCTTGAGGGAACAATACCCGCAGGATCGTCACTCAATCGATTGCTTGTTATGATAACTAAACAGTCTTTTAGTCCGATGATCCTTTGATCCTCACATACAAGTTTATTCGAACCTTCTTAAAGTCAAATTAAGTAGCGACAGATTTGATTTCTTGTTACTGAAGGAGTGAAAATCGAAAGTGCGAAAGACGCGTGTCGTTTACGACAACAACGGCAGCGACGAAAGGGTCGAGCCCATGTTCCCTACCCTACCAGTATTCCTAACCCTCATATATATCATATGTGCCTAGGTGTGTGTGCATTTATTAACTTATATGTTTGTTTGCACGCGGGTTTGTTACATTCCTTGTATGTACATATGTATGTTTGCAGTGCACTCGCGTGCTGCGCTAGGCACTCCAGGCAAGGGTTGCGAGCTCCGCCTCAGCGCCTCAAGTACGTGTGTGTGCACATCTGCGTGTGCTGCTCGCACAAAAGCAAAAGCATCTAATAGTACTATAAAATAAATATGTTCATCCACCATTCATYGTTGMAAACAATATGAGCTACAAAAATTGATTCATTTCGATTTCATTTGAGCCCTCAAAAAGTCTGCTTCCAACTAAGCGAATATTTATTGCAGCGAGTGTGTATGAGAGCAGATGTTTTACAACAGTAAACAGCAACAGAAGGTCTCTTGGTCCGAAGGTCTGTTTAGCATTTTCATATGGTGCGGCATTGAAAGACAAATYGTAAATTTATCACACWCCAGCTTGCTCTGTTCGAGCCGATCAGCCGTGGAGATGAGCTGGTGAAGAACACGGGAGAGTCGCAACGATACAAAATTTCTTATGAACCAAATAAATACACACATACTCGTATGCTTGGRASTTCTGATAACGTTGTGGTATCACATCTAACGGCAAAGGGTTTGCGGCCTASTGCAGTTTCCTTACTGGCAATTAATMTGCACTGTTAGTTGCCTATGCAATACAAACTTCTTCAATTCTTAAACGGAAGAAGTTTAGTGGAGTTCAAATCAGGTGAKCCATCGATAACATTCTGTACACATGTGGAGTTCTCTGAGTTGAACTCTCAGTTGTTTTTATTTTTTTTCGGTACTTTTATTTGTCATACTTATGGTTTGGCTGGTCTGAATATAAAATACTGATTTTGTAGACGTAAGTTCTACATTAATGTATTGTTGAAAGTTCCCGTTCAGCGAACTAAATAATTGAATAAGTTACTTACCAGAATATTGCAGTGGCGAAGGCGATCGAGCCAATCGGCTGATATCTGAAAGCAAAAAAAAACATACATATAAATACTCGTCTTTAAAACCAAATAATTTTTAATAAGAAAATTTTTTTTATTAAAACCTGGAATTTGTTAAATAAAAACATATAAACATATATGTACATAAAGAAAACAAATATTTCAGTCACTTGAACCTTAGCCTTTCTTTGCGTTTCAAAATCGGTTATCAAGATATCTCGAGAACTACTCAACCGACCCTTATTGAATACGAGTATTACACAAGTCTTCGAGGTATAATTGACAAGGACGTGAAGGAAAAATTTTTTGTTGAACAAAAATTTTTTAAAATATGTATCTTTAGAATAATAAAAAGTTAAAAAAAATCATATTTTTATATAAAAAAAGGAATTATTTAAAATGGACCGATTTTTGCTCAACGAAACCCATGTAATCTSCTAAAGCCACTGATATGAAACACAATTGCATACCAACTCAATGGTTGGCAGTTGTATTMCACGCGAGTGTACTTAGACATACAACATTTTATTTGCCTTAGAATGTGATTTTTGCACCATCAGTTAGAAACAAAATCGAGTCACGCTACAGATTCGGAAATGCTTTTAGGGTTCGGCCGATTCCAACCAGCTGTCCATGTAGCCATTACCAAAGATTCGCCGTGATTCATCCACAAATCCATTGAAATATGCAACTATGTAAAACGCAATGGTATTTTTCATTTTTACGAGCTTCTCGAGCTTTTGGAGTGCGCTTCAATTTCTATTACAATATTAATGTTAGCCCTCAAAATAGAAACACTAAAAATGTTGTGCATTTATGGTTGAATTAATGTTCAGAAAGTGTCCATGCATACACCCACACATGAAAGTGCTTATTATGTTCTGCATATATATGTRCATATGTATGTATATTAAGTATGCATTAAGCCATACACTTTACTCAAGCAAGGACATTGCCTCCAAGTGTTCCTCTGAAGAGTGGACAAGAGACAAAAACCGTCGGCGGGGCGCAATCACAATCATTTGTGCTGCTTTCGGTATATTTTATTTAATTGATGGAATCGTTGAAATTAATTTTTATAAACAAAGAGTTTCTCCCCCCTCCACATAGATAATGTATTACTTCCCGGCTGTCTAAATATTATTTATAACATTTATCTGCGATGCAAACTTCATATTAAAATAGCCGTCTGACATTTTACGCGTAATCAATTTAAAAATAATAATTAGATATTTATGTAGTGTACTGAACATTGCCATTGCGCTGTTGTACCTGCCACCTATCTGACGACGACAATCTAACGGATAATCAATATAGTTGTCAAAAATTGTACAATTATACAATAAGGTAAAATAAATTCTTAAATGGTGAAACAAACCACCGGTGACATCAATTATGACTAGATCACAAACTAAATGAAGAATTGCCTTGCATACACACACACGCACACGCCCAACCGAAGGAAAAGCGACAGCAGTCAACACTTTTATGCTAGGAACAAATTAAAAAGCCCAAAAAATGTGCCCACGACAAACGAAAATAAAGTCATGGGCAAAACGTTCGATAAGAAATCGAGATTTCAGTCAAAGTGCTCAGCGCTTATTAATAAAAATGATTAGCACAATGTGTGAACTCAAAAGAAAGCATTGATAATGGGGCCCCCGTAATTTGTGAGGAGGTGTAGCCGGGCAGTGGACTTCATAATGGAGTTCGTATGTGTGTGTGGTACAGGTATGAGATGGATCATAGTGCGACGATCGCCGGCGACAAATAAGTAACTGTTATAGTCTTACAGCAATTGCGCCAAAGTGCCATATCAGCTTGTTTCCACCAACAACTATCCTCCACTGGCATTTTATTAGCCGATTGCCAGATTTAATGCGGTAGTAGTTATTATTAATAACCTAAAATGAGTACTCAGCACATGTAACGGARCACAATTGTCAATTGTTCTGAATAACGGGCACGTAACCTGACAAAATACGACTAACTGTTATAACGTTGGTGATTAAGTTAAGAAGTGATTTGCTGAAATATAAATATATATAAATATATATATATACGTACAAACATACATCTATGTGCATATGAATATAAGTGGAGCAGTTTGTGATGTGTGCTAATGGTCTCTAATGTGAGTGTGCGGTCGCTATACATATATGCGTATACTATATTTAAAACAACACGTTGTACATAATTCGGACATATGTACATCCTATGTAGTGGATAGAGAATGGAAAATCAACTTTTAATACATATTTTATTATAGAGTTCAATATTTCAGCTCGCCTAATTTCGTATTCGTCTGTAGTGAATAACATTTCTTCCCTCAGAAAATCATCGAATTGAACACATATTTGAATATCCATAGAGCTTTCCGATTCAAACATATACTGCACTTAAGTATATTCCACCTTTACATAGTTAACTGAATGGTTTTGCTAAATGCGACTCATTGGACTATAGAGCTGCGTTCTAATTTTATTAATTCTCTATTAAAATCGGAGCATTTTACATCGATGAAAATGGCTTCCTTTTATCAAGCTACCATAACCATATAATTTAAAATCCTTTCTAAAGCTCAAGACTTTAATTCCGTTCTCGATTTCGATTTTCTTATGGGTTTTGTTATTTAAATTTGAAGACTTGAGTAAGTAAGTGAGGGKACTAACAAAAGTCAACAATATTTCTCACATAATTTGAGTTAGTAATTCATGCAACGACGTCACTTCAAAACAATGCAACTTTATAGGGCTTGTAMTGCCCCAATATGTATCAACATGTGTATGTTGGATATACGCGTATTTACTTACATCTGTTCTGCATTATGTGCCCACTAGTCGGTGTTTTCAACAGATCATGCTTCAACGAATTGTTATTGTCTTTAGGTCCTGTRCTCCAACGTAACTCCGACATAACCATTTTCACGAATTATGCACCGAAATATTTTGCTTTTCCGATCAATTATCTAATTATTATATCTAAACTAACTCGATGTTATTTAAAGGAGTATGRGTTATCACTATAATGTTTATATTTCTAATAGAGTAACCGAGAGAATGTTTTAGTTTGTTTTACGTTCGATTTACACGTAATTTACTTTATTCTTTTTCACATATGTACTCGGAGTTGTTTTCCGCTCGAGTGTCTGAGCGCTTGTGTAGAGAGCGTGACCTAGCGCGTTTGTGTTTCGCAGAAAACTGAAATACAAATAAGATGATTTCCCACAAAACACCTCGATGCTCGACGCTCGATTCTCGACTAAGCTTTCCAATAATGTTTACTAATGATTATGAATCGTTGTTGTTGTTATCAACTAACTGGCTCGAAATTTCACGCGCTTGCCGTGTAATCATATGTTTGGTGCCTTAGACGGATATATTGGAGTCACTTTATTGCCTTTGAACAGTTAAACTGTGAAATGCTCGTGGAGCTGATGACACATATACTTATGCATGTGCGATACTTGATTAGTGTAATGCAATGCAATCGAGTTCCTGCTCGCTCACTCGATATGTTATTTTCTGACTGCGTTTTCGTGTAGTTTTATTCGAGTGCCAGGATGTCAACAGCGATGAAGATGTGTTTCAGCARACAGACTTCGATATTCAAATTGTTGGAGACTCAACTGTTCGAAGATCCGACCCTTAGCGTGACTGAATTACAACTGTTTTGGCCGGTCTTCCTTATGATTGCCATGAACTTAGTTTATTGCGTTCGCCAAAGGTTTGACACATAAATGTATACGTAGCTACATAGGGCGATACGAGTTGGTTGGTGTATGTGCAGTCGCATTTGCATTTTCTTACTTGATTGAACACTTTAGGAGTTTGAGATGGCAAATTCTCATTTCTACCCCAAACTCCGGTCACGTTTCTATATGATTTCACTCTTTCTATTTTCTTGCTTTGGCGAATTTTGTCTTTCTTTAGATTTCTCGCACTAGGGGAAACATGGATATGCGCGACTTGAAGTGTCGTTCCGGGGATGAAGTCCACAAAAGAATCGAATTCTACTCACAGCCGGTGAATGCGAATGCGAACACGAATGCGAATGACTCTGTGTTTGATAGAGAAACCGTAAAACCAAACGCGTTTAACTAGTTTAGCGACGAAACCCCAACTGACATCGCTACTTTTCAAATGCTCCACATCCGACAATGAATGAGTGCGAATCATTGCGGATACAACACACATACTTACGGAGCTACGAGCTATGCGCTCAAAGAGAGGCAAGCATTTAGCAAATAAGAAAGCATGAAAGAAAAATTGAAGATCCATTTTTTATTATTTACACCATTTACGACATTGTTCATATAGAATATTCCCCTTATACCTATAAGATTAACATATTTCATATTTTAATCAAATAGGAGACGTGCTCTTAGCCACATCCCCCATGTGGATCAAATGGGTTCCACATACGCTCCAGCTCAGTTGAGCGCAAATGGTTATCATTCTCAGAGAGTGCATGGCCTTTGTGAGTGTGTTGGTTTGATCGGTGAGTGAGTGTGCTATGCTACACTCGAGCCGAGTTCGTCGAGAGAGTCTTAACTCTCGTTAAAATATGAAGCCAAAGTGTGGTGTTTGGGTGACGTCTGTTTGTATGGCAACTTCTGCACATGTGCATAAGTTTGTATGTGTTTGTGTGGCAAATGAGATTGTAAAGCACGCGCCAACAACATTTTATACATTTTAAAATTTTACTATACCCATTGGATTGTGCGGCTACCGCCACTAACTGACTGACACAGTGGGTGTGGCTTAAAATTTAAATTTAGTGATTTTATTTGCTGAGGCTGTTGTGCGCAACGGAACAAGCAGAGAACAAAGAAGCACAAGCGGGGCTCGCCAACGCCATTCGCCGTTCGCCATAAGCGCTTGCACTTGAATATCGGCTGTTTGGAGCGATGGGGATTGTTGATGTCAACTGCTGCTGCTTCTGCTCTGCTGCGTCTGCGGATGGCTGGCGGTTGGCGGCTGRTGGCTGATGGCTGGGGTGGCGAAGCACTATTGGAACTG